AATCATGGGCTTCTAGCAAAACCTAGTCTCATAATTCCTAACCAGGATCTCAGAAACTGACTGGGTTGCTGTTAAGGAAGACACTTAGTTCAACTTATCACAATGCAGTAATGAGTATGTGTAGTAATTAATATGCTGAAAGCCAGGAGCTTAGGCTCTATGGCTTGGTATCAGGCAGCGTAAGCCGAAAGCACCCACACTTTACTGCGGATCCGGATATGAGGCTTCTCTGAGTGAGCTTTGCTCTGTTTCTTGTCAAAGAGGCTTCTCTGCGACCAACGATATTGCTTAATCCCAGTTTAGGGTTGAGGGCGGGTCCCAGACAAAATGCGTTATGTTCCCCAAGGAAATATTACTTTCGTATGGGTCAGGTACCTAGTACGTGCGCACCCTGGACTTGTTGATAATACTTCTAATAATCCACTGAGGTCTGGGGAGAGATATAAGAATTTCCAAGAATTAGGGGAGTACAAGCTTGTGGAGTCCCTGCACTAAAGATTAAACTATTTGTGGGTTGTATATTGGGGTCCCCTGTTTACGCAACGGTCCATGTGCACATTGAGTACTTGGACACTTAGGGCCTGGGATGTTGGAACATTTTTTTTCGGTATGCCGGCTGTGGAGTAATTAAGAAAGCAAGCCTCCGAGCGCTTCGGGGTTCGGCAGTTCTTTGCAAACACCGAGTCTAAACCCGTTAAATCCTACATCCTAGATCCCCAACCCTACCCCTGAATCGCAGCGCGGAACCTTCCGCCGCAATGCTCTAAAACCTGAAGGCCCCTATAGACACAAAACCCGAATGGCTAGTAAAAATGCTGGCGCAAAATGCGATCCGATTCTTGCTCTATTGGCTCTGAGTACGAGCAACCCTAAAGCCTAAACCCTAAACAGCTTGCCCTGAGGGTCCAAGTACCAATAATCATGTACCTAACAAAACCTGTATCATACTTACTATTACCAATATCCCAAGCACCTAATTATTGGGTACATGGACCCTTAGGGTTGCGTATCGTGAGGAAGCGCATGCCTGTCCCGAATATCAGGTTTGTCAGCATGCTTTTCACGATAGGGGTAGTAGTATAGAGGGTTTAGGGTTTTCACCATTGCCTACTTGGAGGGTCAAGGGGACTTAGTAAGTAGGTTAATAACCCCTCTAAACCATATAGTAACCCTAGTTATCCCCATTCTTAGCCGACTTACTAAGTCCCCTGACCCTCCAAGCATTCGAAACCTAGAACATGGGTATCCCCAAGCTTGCCGCCTCCACGAGACTGACCCTAAACCCTAAGCCATCTGGGAAACATGGTGAGATGCACATCCTGGACCCTAATTCGCGCAAGCTTGAGGGGTTTTAGGTTTAGCGGTTTAGGTTAGGGTTTAGGCTTACAGCAGTGCTTCTACAACAAAAGCCACTTCTGTAACTATGGCTTGCATGCAAAAAATCACCAAAACAAGTAACATGACTGAACGCCTAGAGAACTAGCAGCCAGGATTTACAAATACGCATGCATCTTTGTAGAATGTAATGCTACTTTTACTACTGCTACAGACCCGCTACGGATATTTTTCTCGAGTATATGGTAGGTTGTCAAAATCACGATCCCTCTTGGGTGTCCTAATACCCTCCCTCTGTCACCATATTCATGTTTTGGGTTTCTTCTACTCACCCGATGGTTCGTTTTGCTCCAGAGTCCAAAGCGCAATCCCCCTTAAACCCTCATCCTAAAACCCTAAACCTGGAACCCTAACCCGGCCCAGAACCCCCAAATCCAAAACCTAAAACCCCAAATCATACACCCTAGATCCAAAATCCTAAGCCCTA